ATATATAATGATTAACAAACAAGATGGTTAAAGGGTACCTGTTATAAAGCCTAATTAAAACAACTACTCCTACTGATTGCACTGCTTCCCTTAATCATTAATCTAATCCAAAATGACCATCGGTCAGCCAATAAATTTATAACAAGACCAAGCTCCAAACTTTCATTCAAATCCCCTGGTACCAAACTGTTTAACTCCTATATCCAGTACGTTTCCCTCACACACAATTTCTTGTACCGTTCACCATCATCGGGCATTAGTGGAATAGCTTCAATGCCAAACACTCGTAGGTTTTCCGGATTAGCCTGATGATTAGTGAAAAAGTGTCTAGGAACAGAATGATTATCCACTTTATTTTTGATATTTCTTTTGTGCTCTCCGAACCTTGTTCTCAACATTCTAGTAGTTCTTCCGACAAAACTTCCCGCATGGATACAGGAGACCGTAGATAACGAATTCTGTACTACAGTTAAACTGTTTAACGGGGAAACATCAAAAATAAAGTGGATAATCTGAGCAATCTGCATATGTAAGCTGGATACTTATTTTATTATATGGTGTCTTCATAATAAGGTGTATCATGATTGCCATTGTTTCCTATGGATGCATGTCGGTTTTAAGTTTTGTTAGTATAATGATTGAAATTAAATTAAAGGAGAACTATGGGATCAGTGCTTTTCCCCATAGTTCTCCCCAGGGTCACGGGAGGACACAAACTAGCATCCTTCCGTGACCCAAAGCTCAGCATACCGCGAGCTACAGCTCATGGTATACTGAGACCATCGCAGCCGGGACGGATCCCAACATTACTGTCGAGATCCACCTAGCTGCGTGATTGACAGCTGGCTCTGCCTATCTAGAGGCAGAGCAAGCTGTACCCTCCCCTGTCTGTTCCGCCACTGTATCTTTTTTTTTTTTATTGATACCAATAACATAACTTTTCATTCATGTATTGGTTTTTCATGTAACATTTTCATGCTTTTTGCATGAAAACCGACAAGCTCTAACATCAGATTAAACGGCAAGTTTCACCCTTTATTCGTTATCTAAACTGCGTTTTGTGGCTTTTCTCTTGTGAACTGCAGTAGGATCATCCCTGGAGAGATTACAGCAGTAATTGACAAGCATGGACGGACTTTATTTCCCTTGGTATCCTTGTGATGCTAGACTGACTGACCTGTAGTTCTCCGTTTGGCATCTTGAACCTTTTTTGAATATTGGTACTACCGTAGCTTTCCGCCAATCACCTGGTACCCTTCCGTTCAGTATGGAGTCCTTGAAAATGAGGAATAACGGTCTTGCTATAATATGGCTGAGCTCTTTAAGTACCCAGGGGTGCAAGTCATCTGGTCCTAACGATTTATTTGCATTAAGTTTTTCAATTCTTTGTTAAACCCCCACTACCGTCAACCACTGCGGTATCTTACACATTAAGCTTCTCACTTTCTTATCTCAATTAAACCCGTCTTTTACTTTAGTGTATACTGAGGAGAGAAATTAATTTAATAACTCTGCCTCCTCCCAGTCGTTTGAGATGAATCTCCCGTTCTCATCTTTTTATTGGGCCTACCTGCTCTTTCTCTTTTCTGACCTTTTTACTGTTTATACAGGGTGAGCGACGGGAGTCGGATGTTTTTAGAACAGGTAGTACATGGTAAGTTGTGATGGGAGGAGGATGAGCTAGGTGTCTTAACCCCCCCCACACACACACACACACTGGAATGCCAATTCAGTCACAATGAAGCAGTGGGCGTTACAATATCGTTTCAAGATAACAAGAAGTTGCGCTAGGAGAAAACACCATGGGGGTGATTTACTAACCTAAACACACGCACGCACTAGGTGCGTGTGATTTTTACACAGCAAAACGTATTTATCAACCAAAAAGTCTCTAAAAGCATATTTCCACTAATGCCATATATGGAAAAATCATGCACATGATGCATATATAATGCTGCTTCACAGTTTAGACAAAAATGGTTAGCTCATGCATTTACATTCCTGCATTCATCAACGCAAGCAACACAATGTAGAGCTAATTTACACAACATCACCTTGTAATTCATGCAGGGCTTTGCACAACACACCTGCTGGGTGTGTACGCACTACAAAGGTGTCTAGATTCCACCAATAGATCATGCTGGGAGGGAACACACTACAGAGGTGTATACTTGTTTGTGGCGTGTTTATAGGGTTAGTAAATCAACCTCCATGTGTCAATTACCAGCTGCAGCAATGTGCAATCAGAACCACAGTGAAGTCTATAATATGCTGCGCTTGGTATGCGAAGTGAAGGAATAGGTAAATAAATTAACTGTGTTACCTGTAAAACAACTGGGTATCATATATTAATAAGTGACCGTGGGCTGTTACATGTGTTCTCTTATATGTTGGTTAACAACCCGAGAACTCGGGGTAAGAATAAGGGAACATAACATCAAAAAAGGGAAACATGACCATAGTGTGCCGAGGCATTTTAGAGACAAACATGGATGCAACCCCAAAGGATTGAAATTCACAGGAATAGACATAAAAAAGCACTGGAGAGGGAATCACATGAGAAGGGAAATCTCAAAGAACGAGACTAAATGGATATTTCTAATGGAAACCATGACTCCAAAGGGTCTGAATGTGGAGTTGGATCTGAATTGTTTCCTAGCTGATGACTAAAGCGATAGATATATTGATCTAATACACACATTACAGTAACTTAGTGGTAAACATCCCTTTTAGACAGCAGATCATAGATGTCACATCTTTTTTCACAACTGATATTCCCATGCTACTATAGAGGACTTATTCTACGGTGATTGCAGGTGGAATGAATCATAAGCTTTAAGCTGTATAGAAGATCTTATTACAAGTTTACATGACAACTGTCCCAAACACTAGTGGTATTTTTTACCTCCAAAGGATTGGAGGAAACAACACTTTTTTACTAATAGTTTTTATTAACACAAGAGAAGATTTGCACATTAAGAGTTCACACAGGTTTTTTGGAAATCGTTTATTTACAGAAGGAATCACTATAAATTTATTTATTAACCAACATGTAAGAGAACACATGTAACAGCCCACGGTCACTTATTAATATATGATACACAGTTGTTTTACAGGTAACACAGTTAATTTATTTACCTATTCCTTCACTTCACATACCAAGCGCAGCATATTATAGACTTCACTGTGGTTACAATATCGTTTGTTTGCTTACGACAGCTTGGTTCAAAGCGGTGAGTCTATTACAGCAACGCAGCGGCTATTTCGTCAAGAATTCAATGTTGGTCAACACAAGTCCATTCCCTGTCACAACACGGTCGGGGGTTGAACATTTCAGAACGACCGGAAACATTATGAACAAGAAACCACCAGGCCCTGCACGCACTGTAAGGATGCCGGAAAACATTGCAAGGGAGAGAGAGGCACTGGTTAGGAACCCAGGACCGTCTGCTCGAAGACATGCAAGTGAGTTAGGGTTTGTTCGTGAATCAGAGAGAACCATTTTACAGAGAGATTTAAGGTTCCATCCATACAAAATGCAGGTTGTTCAACAGTTCAATGTGAGCGATTACGAGCAACGAAAAGACTTTGCTGTGCCAATGCATCTTGGACAATGACGAATAAACATGAGAAATGATTATTTTCAGCAGTATGGTGCCACAGCGCATACTACAAACACACCAATGGAAGTTCTTCGAAACATGTTCCCTGGGCGCCTCATTTCACGTTATAACAGTAGAAAGGCATCATGGCACACTCACAAACTAGCATGTAAAACAACTTGTCTCACACACGTTATGGCGTTGTGCCATGGCCCCCAAGGTCTCCTGAGTTATGTGATTTCTTCTTATGGGGATACCTGAAGAGCCGTGTGCATTCAAGAGGATGTTGTCATCTAAATTACATTATTTTTCATAACTAAATAAGTAACTCAAATGGCATGTCTTGACCTCTGTTTTTGTAAAAATAAATACATTTCGAGTTAAATCTACGGAGTACTGTTTTTTTTTTTTCAAAACCGTCCGACACCTGTCTGTCACCCTGTATATTGGAAGACTGGGGTTCTACTTGCTGACTGTGGCGATCTGCTTTTCGTAATCTATTTTAGCTGCTCGGATTTATAGTTATTAAATGCCAGCTTATTTTCTTTGATGTGTTGTCTTAACTTGTTTCGCCATGCAGGCTTAGCTCTCGATCTTTTATTTTTGTTACTAAATGGTAACTTGGTAATAGCATTATGCAATGTACTCTTAACACAATCCCACTTCTCGTCAGTGTTGCTGATGGTTGCTGGTCTGTTGTTGGATCCTTTGGGGGCTAGGTCACCCCCCAGTTTGACTGCTTTTGCATGTTCCCGATTCTCTTTGAATTCCTGTGCAACTCAATCGAAAGAAAAAAAAGATTTTTTTATTTTTTCCTCTGATTCATTGAGGGACACAAGATCCCACCCTCTGCTTTTTGCTAGCCTGTGTATTGCTTTCTCACAAAACTGAGGTTTGCTGGGTAGAGGAGGGGTTTACAACTTTACTGTTTGCCAATGTCCTAACCTGAAAGTGGCAGTATTACCTGTTTCTAAATTCCTGCATCCCTCAATGGACCCTAAACATTTTTTTTACTGAAGGTACAAAAATATTATTTTTGTTCTCTTAAACGCTGTTTCTGTGTACCTGATAACTTGCCTGACAAAATTGAGGTGTGAGTTAAACCAAAAGAAATTTGGGAATAAGAAACAACCTTAAGGAAATAGCAGGAATCATTGGCAGAAGAAGAAACATGTGGCAGACAGCTCTGATGGATACAATGATTCCCTAATAATGCTTCATACTAGTTTTGGGACAATAGAGCTGGTGCTAGGTACTGAATCACTGCCCAAAAAGAGTATACATACTGTGAGTTAGGAATGGCTGCTTCCATCATTTAAAAATTCCATATCGATGCAAGTAAGAGTCTATTCTATCAAACTGAAAAATCTAATTGTTTCCTCTGTTCTGTTTTTTCAGGCTTCGAGAGAGGCACCAGGATATTCTGCGCCAGAAACTGTTCAAGCTCAAGCAAGAGCAGGGTGTTGAAAGCGAGCCTCTGTTCCCCATTGTAAAACAAGAGTCCTATTCTCCTAGTGAAAGGTGCTGTTAAAATTTGTCTTTTCTGCTACATAACTGTGTTCTGGTGTTTTCATAAATACTCCTAAAAATCCGCACAGGACTGTCAGTCTAGTCACCCGATTTACCTGCAGGTAAAAACATTTTTGGTATGTTGAGCAGAGCCATTATTGCAAGTGAACACCAAGAGGCATATTTATAAAGCAGTGACATTTACCAAACAATCACTGTGGAGGAAATTTCCAGATGCATGTGTTTTAATTGACAGTGATTAATTCACTGCTTGTGTATGTTTGCTAAAAACATTAACTGTTTTATAAATTTGCCCCCCAGCTTGGAATTTTGAAGAACAGACTTTACCCAGTACTTCAGGACACAATGTTGTCTACTGTCCCTTTCTAGTGAACTAGAGTAAGATGGTTACTACATTAACGAATGGCTGTCCTACACTTGCTATGGCCTACCTGGCACCCCAGTCTTTGCCCCTGGTAATCATTTGGGTAAGATGAAACTTGGTATCTCCAGTGGTTGGCCATCAAGGGAGCCTGGGTAACATGCAAGCCATTGCATGCCTTCTAGTAATTTTAACTGGCTTTAATGCCTCTAGGCTTTAGTTGGACCTGCACACAAGCAGCATTTTCTACTGTCCAGATCTCCATCTCCCAGCTTACTTTCTTCTAGAATTCAAAGCAACCCAAAATGATTCTGGCCCAGTAAGTTAGTGCTTATGTTTGTTTTTTATTACCTGACTTTGCTGATACAGACACTCCTCACTTAGCGACAGAGTTCCGTTCCTACAAATAGGTCGTTAAGCGAATTGGTCACTAAGTGAGGAATAGCGGAAATCAGCTTGAATAATACAGTACATGACTTAGGGTTTGTTTACTGCAAATACCAATGAACAGTACAGTAGTGAATACTGAGTGATTGACCAACTGCGGGAATGAGACAGACTGCGAAGGGTGATGTGAGATGAGCTTGACCCAACTTTTCTGACAGTGTATAATACCAACTGGTTGGGGAGCTGGTTGTAAGTCCGAGCAGTCATTAAACAGGTAGGTGGTTAAATGAGGAGTCGCTGTATTGTATAACTATGTTATGCTTTTTCCATTGTATCTGATGGGAGTTTCTGTTTTCAGAGATTTGGTGACTGGATGAAAGCACAGACAAATCTATGCTTTGACTCTTGATTAAATTAAACTACCAATGACATACACTAAAGCCTTTATATAAGAGCTGCCACTACAACAAGGTAGACTTTTACAAATCCAGAATTCAGCACTGCTCCTTCCTCTCCTCAGTCCTTTACATTAATCATCAAAGTAAGGCCTGGTACTACAGTTCAATCTTTTAGTGCCATTCAGTTCCGTTTCATCTCTTCACCTCATTCCTTTGCAGCCATTTTCTGGCATCCAAGCTCTGTTGGCAATTTCCCCATGTAAGGTTTGCCCCTGTTGCTTAGCAACCACAACTAGCAGAAACAGATCACTGCCAATAATGACATAGTTAAAGAAAAGCTTTATTAAAGCGTTTACAAACGTACAATTAGGTTTCATGTTACCCACAATGAATAAATGAAGTTTGCCTAAAGTTCAGCTGCGAATAGCTTTTCATGACACTTTACTAGTGAAGAAAAACAGATGATTCCCTCTGCTCAACATGTTTTGAACTGGATCAGTTCTTCAGGAGGAGGGTCTATTAAAGCTACATTTCCTATACAGACTGATGGTTAACCCTTTACATTTCCATTCTTTCAGATAGTGTGCAGTCATCTGTAGACGCACCAGAAAAATATTTATACTTAAAGTGGACCTTTACCCCCTTTCACTAAAAATCACATCAGCATGCAGCTCTGCATGCTGATTTAAAATCATATTACATTCATTAGTTAGACAAACATGTTTTTCATTTACTTACAAATAGTTTATCTACTTCCTGGTCCATTTTGGCACAAATGATGTAATGTGCTCAAGCGTTGCATCCTGGGAAGATTACATCAGCAGGGCATTGCTAGGAAATCTCACCTATAATCTCACAAGATCTCAGGGAAAGGCATTTTCCTCCCCTGAGATGATGGGCATGGTCACATGTCCTAGTCACATGTGCCAGAGTTCCAGGAAGTAAAGTAAGATCTAGGATTTTGCTCTCAGTTAAACTGGCAACTGCGAGAAGAATGAGAAGTAAAAGAGAAATAAGGTATGCAAAGAATACAAAGCCAGCAATTTTCTATAATTATCTGTTTGTAGATTGTCATTACTAAACATTTCTAAAGGCGTGTTTTGTTGTTGTTTTAAAGAAATGCATAAAGTTCCTCTTTAATAATGTTTCTACAAAACAATAATAATAATAAATATAGCTGTAAGGAGCAATAAAGGTGGCCAAGCATTAGAGCCTGGTTATAGCACATGAGAAGATATTGTACTTCGAGAGATGCATAGCAAAGTTATGTATTCACAATAGGCCTGTACAACTGCATATGTTTTCATGAATTGTAATATTTTTCCTAATTCAAAATCTATTAAATTTGCATGTACGTTGCCGAGTAATTATGTGTATCAAATTTTGAGATAGTTCAGTAGTGATCTAAATACACATTTGTGCAATTTGCTGCAATGTTAAATGTGATTCTCTTGTATCGGCCATATTGATGTTGATATTCACCTCTTATGACCAACCGTTAGTATAGGAGGTGGCTGTGGAGATGTGTGCCAAATTTCGCATTGTCATGACATGTATGGTTTTAGAGGTAACAATGTTTGGCATCCATATTGGATTGCGCAATATTCTACAAACTATGTGGTAGATTGACTTGTAAAGCACACGTCTGAGCCAGTATCTCTCTATAGACCTCTACAACTAGACATGGTTTCATGAATTATATATAAAAAAAAATTCTAAATTGCCACCGACTTTGGTGACAGTTGGAACCTATATTGTATTTGGCAGTTATGATTTTGAGTTATCATATGTTTAAAGAGTTTAACATACTTCAATAGTGATATAAATGCAAGTTTATGCAATTTGCTGCAATGTTAAAAGTGGCTTGTGGTGGCCATATTGATTCTGGTATTGAGTTGCTTTGATACGTCATGGTACAGGAGGTGGCCATGGACATATATGCCGCAAATATCGCATTGTTCCGACAAACCGTTTCAAAGTAAAAGATGGTTGTAGAATATTGCCCAATTTAATATGGCTGCCAAACCATGTGGTCAGATGACTTGTAATGAACATATATGACTGTAGAACAAGTTTTTAAATAACAGTGTGGTTATAATTCGCATTTGATATTATCAGTCAGTCTAACATCAATACTATGCAAACTATTTGAGAGAATGATAAAGGACTATTTAGTGCATTTTGTTCATGATAAAGGTATAATAAGTGATATTCAGGATTGATTTATGAAGGACTGTTCTTGTCAGACCAACCTACTAACATTCTGCGAAGAACTTAATAGAGATCTGGATGGAGGAAGGCCAGTGGATGTAGTGTATCTGGATTTTGCAAAAGCATTTAATCTATGGGCATAGATGAAATTGTGTGTACATGGATAGAGAATTGGCTACAGGACCGTGTCCAGAGAGTATTGATAAATAATATTATTTCACGTAATACATGTGAGAGGTTTTGTTAGACCTCCCAATATATCCTTTGTCAAGATAGACACACAATTTGCTTGTTTTAGTTTATACCTAGATGCATCTGCATATCTTTAGCCCTTTTTCTGCCACTGTCATAACTACTATGGGACAGCAGTGTCCCTTATGGACAGTTTTGACTGTCTTTCTTTTTTTTTTTTTTATGGTTAAGTGTAAAAAAAATGCAATTTAAGGGCTTTACAAATGTGGAATTTTTTAACTTGACACTCTTGTCTTTTATATATAACTGATAATCTGTACATTATATTGTTTGTGTGCGCTAAAATTAATTTTATGTATTTTTATTTATGCACAGAAATTACATATTAAGGCCTCAGTTTTCAGAAAATATATATTGTGTTGGGTGAATTAAGTAAATTTTTATGGCAATAATTGTGCATTTGGGTGGTACATGAAAAATAAAAAATAATGTTTTGGCAGTAAACAGGTTAAACTGCATGCAGGCACTACATGAGCCCTAAAACCAGGGGCACACCATTATACAAGTTCTGACTTCAGCTCTGGAATTGAACGTCTAATGCTTCTTCCTGTCCCACACCACAGACCTCACTATGTTGCCCATGGTAAACGTGCATTTATGTTGCTGGTGACAAGTTCAGAGAAAATATTCACCTGTTTCGCAAGATGTTGCTCCCTTGCTGATGGAAGTGTTGCAGAATGTTAATCACCTAGGGCTACAACAACTACTCGATTTAATAGAGAATAGGAATCGGTGTCAACGATTTTCTTTATCGATTAGTTAATTCTTCGATTAGTTGCTACATGGGCTCTGTGTCCCTTCTGATCCCCGCTGCTCCCAGTGGGGATGGGAAGGGACACAGACCCCTGCAGCCGGTATCCAGCTCCAAACCTCACTCCCCCCTGCCACTGCTGCTCTGCTCCATTCTTCCCTTCTATGGGAGCCGCTGCATGCTGCAGTCTCCGCTGCTCTCCCTGCCTGTATCGGCAGAGGCAGCAGGGATGGAATGGGACACAGACCGCTACAGCCGGCGCCCAGCGGGGAGGAGAAACCAGTGTGCCTTTTGCATTCCCCCGCTCTGCTCAGTGCCTCCGCTGCTCGATCCCGGACTGCTATTGATTATTTTAAATTGCAGTTGCCAATAGCAAGCTAGCTATTGCATCCGCCCACTACCTACTGTCAGTCAGCAGAGGAGGACCTGAAGGAGAACTTTGATTGACAGCAGGTAGTGGGCGAGTGCTTTAGCCAGCCTGCTATTGGCTATTGCAATTTGAAATAGCCAATAACAGGCTAGCTATGGCTCCCAGCCACTGTCTGCGGTGTTTACATTCAGCAGGCAGCTGCCATTCCCCAGCTAAAACTATTGCAGTGGAAACCCTTTTGTTTTTTGGGGTTTTTGTTTT